GGGTAAGACTAGGGCTGGTTGAGTCTGGAAATAATTTTGCATCAATTCCAAGGCAAAAATCACAGGCTAAGAAAAAGCATATGCTCAGTGCCTAGACAGGGAGGAGGAAAAACCAAAAAGTGATCAAAGAATTGCACAGTAAAAAGAAAGTGATAACAGAGCATCAACTGAGAATAAATATAGGGAAATAGAAAAGAAAAAAAAGTGATGCATGGTGGAGGTAAAGTGGCAAAAAGCCATTGATTTCTTCAGGTTATTTCCCAGAAAAGAGAAATTCCTATGCCTTCAAGTCTTCGCCTTAGTTTACAAGGTGTTTATTCTGACTTCTATTATGTCATCTGATCTCCCTCAACTAACCCACCTTCTGTGATCAGGAGAAGGAAGAGGCCTTAATTCCAAATGGGCATCCTATACTCCCCTAGCCCCAGACATCCAAGGTAAGAAAAATTCACCTCTAATTCCAGAAGATGTTGAAGCCAATAAACTAAGGGATAAAAAGTCAGTCATCACAAATGGTAGCCTATGCCAACAAGCTTGGCTAATGTTGAGGGCTGCATGGATCCTTAACAAGAAAACAAGCAGGAAGCAACATCAAGAGGCTGCGTGTGAAGACCACAGCAGAGCTTTGGGAATGGAAGCAAGCTCTGGGAAGCAGAGTAGAGGAGATAGAGAAGAAACACCCATTTTCCTGAAGGGATAAGAGGGTCAGGCATACTGAAAGATAGACTGATGAAGAGTGAGACTTCTAGACTGTGAGGAGAGAAAATGGAAGGGGCTAGGAGAATCTGCTAATAGTCTCAGCCCATAGTAGGTTGCCCTCTGAAATCATTGCTCTGTGATTCTAGAAATTTGTTTACCTCTCCACACTTGTGTCTTTGCTGCTGTGTAACAAGAACCACCTGTCTTTTACATACCAAAGAAGTGAGATCTGCTAGCCAGAAGAATAAAATTGGGAATTCATTTTTTTAAAATGACCCATATTGTCTTATATGTAATCACAGGTTTTAAGGGCTAACTAATGGCAATCTACTGAATGGTAATAGCACTAGACTGACTCTGGGCCACCAACAGCCAGAAAATCTGACAGATGCCTCTCTGGCCAAAAGGTAGGCATGAAAATCAATGAACTATCCTTGCTTCAGGTGGTCATACCTGCAAGGAAGAAGAAAACCTGCATGGACTCATAGAACAGTGGATGGAGCTTTATATGAAGTCCTCTTAGGGCAGAGGCAGAAATATGACAGTTTCTAAACTCCATCCTAGAAAAGAGACTCAGGAGATTTGCAAGGCTCAATTGCTACAAAAAAGATCCCATATCACTCCTGACATACTATCAAAGGCTGGGCCAGTGCTCAGCTTCTTCCTTTTCTGGGCTCCAGGTCTCATAACATAGAACTCCTGCTCCTTCCCCACTCCGCAAAGTGCTGATGGGTTATTCAGGAAAACAATCTGTGTCTAAAAGCCAAGTGTCTTAATGCATCAAAGACAAACATGCTTGAGGCCTGGCCATGAATCCTATGGCTCCATGTAGCCAAAACCAAGTTTTAGTCACCTTCAAAAAATAATACCCAGTGCCTTTTATTTCCATAACAAATAGACAACTGTGAAGGAAGTCATTCAAACCACACTGTTCTAATGCTTCTGTCTAGGGAAGTCTCTTGACATAGATGTTTCTGACGTGCGCTGTATTTTGAAAAATTCCCACTGGTGTGTATTATGCTGAAGTTCATTCTGAGGACATGGGTATGTTCTTTCTCCAATCCCAGGGAGATGTGTGATTTTTTTTTTAAGAAAATACATTTAGAATAAAATTTGAGAGGGAGTAGGTGCATCTCTACCCCGAGTATTGAAGAGATTAGGGTTGGAGATACAATTCTGTCCAAGGCAAGCGCTGAATTCCTTGTCTGTGACCTGGGCTAGGTGATTCTAAGAAGGATCTAAGAGGATAGCTACATATCTACATTAAGATTCCTTGGCTACTTTTGATTGAGGAGGAGCAAAGGAAGAAGAATGAAGTACCTGAGGAATGGAGTAAGCCTAGTAGGAGGTCTCTTAGAACTCAATTAATGAATACCCTTTAGTTCCCAGGAAGAGCCTTGCTGCATGTTCAGACCTTGTTTCCCTGGTTTCTGCCATGGAAGGCCACAGGAGCAAGTGTACACAAGAAGATGAGTATGGTGCATAGAGCACACTGCTTGCTATTTTGGTGAAAACACAAGGAACCAATGTTTAACATCAACCAGGGAACATTTTAGTCACAATGCCCCTTGCTTATACCTGGAAACTCTCCCCATCAGGGGAGGATGGCTATGGGGACATTGTGTATGAGGACAACCACAGAAAGACTAGGTTATTTTTCTAGCTGGTCTAGTGGAAAGAAATCATTGCTATTTTAAAAGCAATCATTACCAGTAGCAATGGTAGCTGCACTAGTTTTTAAAATGCTGAAAAGCCATCTCAGAAAATCAGGATGAACAAAGCTATTACTTCACTCTTCCTTTCTTCCTTTCCCTGCTCTTGAAACAAGAAACCTTTAGTCCTTTGCCTGGGAGGACAAATCAGTATGTGGTGACATGTGTGGAGCAGATAGGGAAAACTAGTTTTCTTTTATTCCATTTTTAACAGAGTAAGTAGCTCAGAGGACTATTCCAAAGGCGCCTCAAGATGGGGCATCCCCTGAGTTAGATAGACTGTTGTTCCTATTGGTCTTAAATGCCTCCCTCTCTTTGGGGACATCTGCAGCCCATGTGAATGGGAACCATGTGAATGTGGGGAGAAAGGGCCATATTAAGTTGCTGGGTGGATTTCCCACTGAGATCAGGGCAGCAGCATATGGCTCCAAGATGCAACATGACCCTGGGAAAGAATTCTCAGGAGCCTAATGGAAGGCAATACTGGTTAGTGGGAAAAGGCCCTGGAATAAAAGCCAAGAGATGCGGGTTCTAATCCCAACCCTGCCCCTAGCCAGCTGTGTGACCTCAGGGAAATTACTTTACCTCTGTGTCTCCATTTCCTGGCCTGAAAAAAATGAGGAATTTGGGAGTGGATGATGTGATCTTAAGGTTCCTTCCAGCTAGAAAACTCTATGATTCAATCTAGGCTAATACTAAAGTCCATAAGGACACAAAGCAGTCATGCTAATGGCTATCCTTTCCAAAACAGTGAAGAGAAAAGGAGATTTTCTCTCAATTTACCTCTAGTTAACACTACTTATGAAGTTAGTTGTTCAGCCCAGCCCCTATATATACATTTCCCCTTCTTTGTCCCTATTTCTATTTATGTAGGGAAGAAAAATTAGGAGGTAGGAACAAGCAACAGATGGATTGTGTGTGTGCACATGTGTGTGTGTGTGAGTGTATAAGAAGGAAGAAGTTATGGGGGAGTGGTGGCAAATGCTTGCTGACTTGATGTTTGCTGACCATGAAGCAGTCAACACAATGGGACTAGAGTGGTAAAACTGAACTGGATAAATTGGGAACAAATAATAGGGGTAAATGAGCTCAGTGACACTTTTTTTTGCCTTGAAAAAATGGGCTAATTTAAAATGCAATTATTGGAGGCTTGAATTTTGAACTATGCCAAGACCCTCAAAGTGGCAATACAGAAACATTTCCTTATAATTAATTAAAAGAAAGATGGAAACTATACTATTGTTACAGAAGACTTCTGATTCCAAGATTATTATAAATACAATATGTCCATTTAGTATTTTCTAGTGGTACATAAGCCACATGCAAGGAAGTTCTCAGCTTGTGTAGAGCATGAGGAAATCTGGTTTCTTCCTCTGGTCCTACCTACTCTCCCAGCAGTCATTAAGCTGCCTCTCTATTTCTTTATCTTAAAATGAAGGTATGGGACTAAATGAAATTTTAAGAAAGACAGTGGATGGAGTCTTTAGAAAGACCTGGTATAAAGTTTAAAAATAGACCCCCCCATCATTCTCTATCCCCAACTCCCATTCCAAAGTACCATTTTTTTCTAATTAATTTTTAACTATTTTAGGAGGCAATGTGAAAACTGTGAGCTTCTAGAAAGAAATAGGGACTAGGTGAAATGAGTTTCTCAAATGTTTTGAATGGATCTACAAATGCAGGAGAGATCAAAAGGAGATCCTCATAATTTGGGGGTTCTTCAGTGAACGATCAGAAGAAGCAGAAACCAGTATTACCATCATCTCACTTCTCCTGAATCAAAACTGTTTCTGGTAATTAAGAACTTCTGAAATTGTCTAGGGACCTCTAGCTACCCCTTCCACCTGGTGTTTCTCCCTGCACATCAGCAATGCCATCAAGTTGCCATCAATCCATGTTGGGTTGTCTTATAGTATATTTCCTAATTGTGAATCAGCTGCAAAGGAGCATGTGCATGTCTACGCATGTGTGTGCGTGCACACACAAACACACACACACACATACACATACACACAGACACACACAGCAAGCTCATTCCATTCATGGGAGGGACAACTGCATGTCATTCAGTAGCCAAACAATAGCTTGGCTTTGAATGATGCACCTTTCAAAATATCTGAACAATTACAAAGCAATAAAGGAAATCTTCATATCTGCTCAAAGCAAACACAGAATTAGCATGCATGGCTTTCACCTAAATTTAGTTGTCTTTGCCATTATGGGCTATGATTACAGACAAAAAAGCAGTGTTATGAACCTGTACCTCAAAGACTGAGAATTATTTTAAATGATCAGTCCTTAATAAAGAGAAATCCTTTCTAGTGTTAAAGTGAAAGGTTTCTGTATCTTCAGTATGAAATATTAGGATTATAGATAAAAAAGAGTTGCTTAAAATATGCCATAACATTTCATTTAAAATATAATTAGAATGTCTGGTCCACATTGAAGTTATTAATGTAAGCATAACTGTTAAAAAGCTATCAAAAGACTGATTCTATTGAATTGGCCTCTGCTATTCATTTCATATTCTCCTGGAGGTTACTGTTTGGCAGTGACAGCATGATTTCTAAACTACATTATTCTTCTGCATTTTTTTGGTAAATTTTCTGCATGTGTTTTTTAGACAAAAGAAAAATCACCAGTTTATAAAAAAGGAGCCTGAAGAGTTTGCTCCTGAAATACAGACATGAGTTTTTATAAAAAGGATATTGGTTTCTTGCTATAAAAAGTGACCGAAAGGTGTCAGACCTGAAAACAAATTCTCACAGTGTTTTCAGTGTTGGCTGTTTACAAGGCATTCAATAGAACAGAGATAGATGGATACCGTACAGTTCATTGTAATAACTTGGTATGTTGGACAGCTTTCTAGATGAATCAAATATATAACATCCTTTATTCCAAAGTCTTATCAATTATTTATTGATTCCAAATTGCCCCAGTGGAGAAGTTGACCAAGAATTGACTGTGCTTTTTAACTTCTACTGAAACATCTTAGAAGTTTCTGCTTCATCTCTTTTAGCTAGTCCTGCCCCCACAGTCCTAAGCATCTGGTGCCATAGTTATTAGTTGCTGGTGTTTCTACCCCTTGACAGACAGGATTGGTGCTAGACAACAAACTAAGGCTCAACCAGGAGTAAAGGGCAAGGCTGGGGAGCCGCCTTGCCATCTTCCTGGGAGCCTCCAGCATTATTAAGATCCGGAGACAAGGGGCACTTGTGTTTGTCACTATTGGATGCGCCAATAAGATTTTTTTCCCCACACAAACATTTTAAGTGCTAAGTATGTAAACAGCCCTCTACAGAAGGAAGACTGCTATAGTGTATGAGTAAGTGAGACAGGAAAAATAATGAAGGCGCCTAAATATTCAGTAGAAAGGTCATGGACTAGCACATTTGGCATCCCTGGAAAATTACCCAAAGGACGGTTATCAATCTATCTCTCATAATTGGTAACTGTGGATCAGTGGCCCAGAGGAGAAATCACAGGAAAATAAACCCAACATACTACAGTGTGTTTTTGAAAAATAACAACAACAACAAACGAAAAATTGAAAGCACCAATAGCCCTGTTGGACACTTCAGAGTGAAGTATCCTACTTTAGTGGTAGGATTGGATTTGTACTCTGGATTCTACACACTCCGTCCTCCTTCACATGGAATCACCAAGAGAGTCAGAGTCATCCAAGGACAGGGGCAGGTACAGGTCCTATAAGAAGAGAAGAGGCAAAGTTAACTTTCCCTTTCTTGACATCTTGAGATTTGGAATGACTGTTTTAGTTTTTATAACTAGTTTTTCCCTAATTTTTATATTTAAATATTTATTCATAAGAAACAGAAAAATGCATAGGGAGATAACCATATGCTAATATAGCCTTCACCCAACTTTCCCCAAACATAACATCTTAGAGTTCTATTTGCACTCATTTGTTTGAGTGAATAATCCTATACAATTGTATTGCATGCACATTTGTGTGACTATCACCAGAGTCAAGATGCAGAACTCTCAGCACAGGGCTCTCTTGTGATACCCTTTTATAACTATATCTATCCACATTTGCTTCCCCAAGCCCTGACAACCAACAGAGATGCTTCCCTCCTCTGTAATTTTTGAATTTCAAGGATGTTGGCTAAATAGAATCGTGAAGTTAATAAGATTTGGGGATTGATCTTTTTCAGCCAGCATAATTCCCTGGAGATTCAAACAAGTTGTTACATGTATAAATATATCAATAGTTTACTCCTTTGTATCCCTGAGTTGTCTTCCATGGTACAGAAGTAAACAGATTGCTTAACAATATACACACTGAAGGGCATGTGGAATGATTCCAATTTGGGACCATTGTAAATAAAGCTGCTGTAAATATTCAAGTACATGTTTTTATGTGAATGTAAGTTTTCATTTTTTCTGGAATAAATGCTCAAGAGAGCAATTCCTGAGTTATATGGTAATTGCATGTTTAATTTAGGGTTTTCTTTATTCTTTTTTCCTTTTTTATTTTTTTGTTTTGGTACTGGGGATCAAATCCAGGGTCTTCCACATGCATATTGAGTTTTATAAGGACTACCATACTGTTTTCCAGAATGGCTGTACATTTTTACCTTCTCACTAACCAAATATTAGTGATTTCAGTGTCTACACATCCTCACCAGCATTTGGTGCTTTCACTACTTTTTATTTTAACCATTCTTGTGGATTTGTAGTAATATCTCATTGAGATTTTAATTTGCATTTCCATGATAGGCTAATGATAATAAAATATCTCATCATGTATTTAAATGATATCTGTATTTCCTCTGAGTGAAATGTTTCTTCATATATTTTGTTCATTTCCTAATTGGATTTTTTCTTGTCAGTTTTAAGAGTTATTTATATATTCTTTAAATAAGTCTATTGTAGATATGTGGACTTGCAGATATTTTCCCCACTGTGAGTAGTTTGTATTTTCATAACTTTTGCATGGTCTTTGGCAGAGCAAAAGTTTCTAATTTTGGTTAGGTCCAACCTATGCAATTTATCAATTTTTTCTCCTGTAAATTATTCTCTCTCTCCCTCCCTCCCTCCCTCCCTCCCTCCCTCCCTCCCTCTCTCCCTCTCCCTCTCCCTCATGCTCTTTCCTCTTTTTAACCCCTATATTTAAGTGAAATATTACTTGGAAATCCCATTCATGAGAAAAGGTGGGGTGGCAGATTTTTACCCAGTTCCATCTTTCTCTGCACTTTCAAATATAGCAAAGTTTGAAAACCACTATTTTTGTGCTTGATATTAGCAAGATACCAAAGAGAATAGAAAATCTAGAATCAACGATGTGGATGTGGATATTTGGTAAAATGGGAGAAAATAACTTCAATAGAGGATTGTCTAAGAAAATTGGAGAACACCTTCTGCTCAAGGTAGAGGAAAAAGTGGAACTGAGGAAGGAAAAAGAACACTGGGAAAGAGAAATTCATCTACTATCAAGACATCATCAAAATGGCGATATTACCAAAAGTTCTCTATAGGTTTAATGCAATGCCAATCAAAATCCCAATGGCATTTCTTGTAGAAATAGATAAAGCAATCATGAAATTCATATGGAAAAATAAAAGACCCAGAATAGCAAAAGCA